AATAGTACTCGTGTTAGTATTAGTATCAGTCTGAATGCTGGTTTTAGTATCTGTTTATTATTCACAGAAGTGCTGGTATTAGTATCAGTATTAGAAATAGTTTTGATATGTGAATATACTGATTGATTCGTACATTTTGAGCTTAATATAATAATACAGTAATGTATTCGAACAATAGTATATTTGCAGAGTTGAAGATTGCGCGAATATATTAGTACGTTGGTGCATGAGTACATTAGTATATTGGTGTATCATGATATTCGTATGTTAACGTAGTAGTATATTAGTATATTATTATAGTGGTCTATTACTACATTTACTATATTCGTATTTTCCCTAATAGCTTATAGGTATATCAATATGTTGGCATAATGGCATGTGAACATGTCAGTGTACTTGCCTTTTACAGTATTCGTATATTAGTACACTAGCATATTTAGTGATAATTAGTGTTGATGCCAGTGCCAATGTCGATGTCAGTTTTAATCAGTCTTAATGATGAATTTAACATCAGTGTAATATTCGCGGACGTGCTAGTATGCGTATCAATACTATAATTAGTTTTGATATATTAGTATACTGATAGATTATATAAACAGCTTAGTATACCAACACATTATAATGTATTCGAACAGTAATATGTTTGTATACCTGCATGTTTGTATGCTCTTAGTATATTAATGCATGCGTACGTTCGTGCATGAGTACATTAGTATATTGGTGTGCTATTATCTTCGATTATTAACATATTAGTGTATGAGTATCCTGGTATGCTACTTCATTTATCATATTCGTATATTATCTAACAACTTTTTTGGTATATCCATATGTTAGTATACCATTGCCATGTGTCAGTGTACTTGCATATTACAGTATTCGTGTCTTAGCAAGTTAGCATATCAATACAGTATAATCAGACGTTAACAAGTAGTATATTGTCACGTTGGAAACTGGGTATATGACAAATTAAATACGAATATACTACGTTAGTACACGAATGCATTGATATATTTGCTTTTCAGATAGTGGTATGTATATCTGCGGACATTAATATACGCAGGTGTCTGTTAGTATTGGCATTAATATCAATATGAATATGACTATTGGTAGGCGTAGGAGTATTAATGTTAATAATAGAATTAGTAATGTGCATATTCGAAATGAAAGCATTAATATACATGTCAACGTTAGTGTTAAAAGCACTACACAGTAATCTTACTTGAGTCATATATAGAGCAGATTCCAGCATTTCCAAAATTTCCAAAATTCTCTCCCCTAACTTTCCGGATTTCCAAAATTTCCAAAATTTCCAAAATTTCCTTTCCAAAATTTCCAAAATTTCCAAAATTTCCAAAAAGTCCGCCCTTATGTTTTGGAAAAATCCTGTCGACTAGGTCGGGAAATTTTGGAAATTTTGGAAATTTTGGAAATTTTGGAAATTTTGGAAATTTTAGAAATTTTGGAAATTTTGGAAATTTTGGAAATTTTGGAGATCTGTAAAGTTAGGGGAGAGAATTTTGGAAATTTTGGAAATGCTGGAATCTGCTCTATATATGACTCAAGTAAGATTACTGTGTAGTGCTTACTATGTAGTGTGTCAGCACAACCCTCATCCATACACGTGTGCTCTGTAATTCCTTTCTTGGTAGGACACCCGCGCGCCTTATCGTGCTGCTTTCTGGTCTCAGTCTTTTGGTGGTTCCAGGGATACGTTCGGAGGGCTCAAACTCGATACTCCGGAAAAAGCACGAACACGCCGGTGGGAGCGATGTTTTAAAGGGGATGGTCTGTCATGGGGGGGGGGGGTGACCATATATATATATATATATATATATATATATGGGTAGGTAGTCATTCCCCACCCCTGCATTTTCGTAACTTCGCTCTCCTGTTCTCGATTCTGTTATCTGGTTTCGAAACTCGTGTCTGTTTCGAAACATATCTGTAGCAGGCCCCAACCCAACCAACTAGCCCATTCACCCAATGATTTGCCCGACCCATTAACCCATTAACCCCATGATTGCCCAAGTGGGGGTCGTCCGCACAAAGCCCATTAACCCATTAACCCAATCATATGCCCAATCCATTAAGCCGTTAACGCAATCATTCTGGCCGAATGGACTTGGCAGACCCATTCACCCATCAACCCATTAACTCGATAGTTTGCCCAACCCATTAACCCATTAACCCAATCATTCTGGCCAAAAAGATTTGGCAGACCCATTAAATCATTAACCCATTAACCCAATGATTTGCCCAACCATTAACCCATTAACCCAATCATTCTGGCCAAATGGATTTGGCAGACCCATTAAATCATTAACCCATTAACCCAATGATTTGCCCAACCATTAACCCATTAACCCAATCATTCTGGCCAACTGGATTTGGCAGACCCATTAAATCATTAACCCATTAACTAAATCATTTGCCCAACCCATTCACCCATTAAACCAATGATTTGCGCAAGTGGGACTGGAGTCTACTCCCAAGTTCATTTGGCCAGATTGATTGGTTAATGGGTTAATGGGTTGAGGCAAGTTCATTTGGCCAGAATGATTGGGTTTATGGGTTAATGCCTCCTGAGTCCATTAGGCCAGATGAATGGGTTAATGGGCCAGAATGATAGGTTTACTGGGTGAATGGGTTAATGGGTTAATGGGTCAATGGGTTAATGGGTTACTGGGCTGGGGCCGTGGGAGGCGCATGTTTCGAAACATACGTTGTGTTCCGAGACGCATGCCTGCCTATACTACAGGTCATGTATTACGTAAAACAACATGTGCTTCAAAGAGCAATCTATATCCGGTAATCATGTATATATGTATATATATATATGTATATGTAAGTATGGTCAGGCCTCTGGCGTAAGGAGTGTGAGAACTGACAGCCCTACACATTGATGCCCACTTCGGCCCACCAAGTCGTGAAGAGTCAAAGCGCCGAAAGCAAGTAGGATCCTTAACTCTTGATGTATTCCATTACTTCAATGCATACAGCTGTGTGATGCTATGTACCATCTATATACTTTCGACTATACACGAAACCGAACTGGAATTTACTGTTGTCGGCCCTTAGCCTATACGTACTACATACCGATATTGCAGACTATACTATCGAACATAAGACTACAGTATAGAGTATATTGCAGACTATAGCATAGACCATAGACGTTAAGACAGGATGTACTATATGCTATACTAAAGACTATACTATGAGCTCGAGGTAACACTATAATGCATACTATGACAAGTATAGTGAGCGACCAGCTGACCCTGCTCATAAGCGATTTCGGCTCATGTGGTTGAGTGAGGCCCTTAGGGAAACCCGATTTCTTTTTGGCCCTTCCCCGACCTGCGTTATCTGGTCGCGGATTTTCGGCCTCCTTTCGGGCCTTTCTTTGGGCTCCCTTATCACTGCTTTCTGCCTATCAGCTCGCCTGAGGCGCTCACTTTCTACTTCGTTCGCTGCATGGTTTTCGCTTCCGCACAGGTTGCCGAGCCCCCGCTTGCAAGGGCGGCTCGTCGGTTGGCAGCCGGCGCGTCGGTTCAACGGAGGACGTTGTTCTCTGGAGTCAAAGGGACGCGGTGGAATGTTTTTTTACAGGAACTCCAACCATGGTTGGGACCCTACCCTTTACGACTTGTTGATGGGTACGCCGACGCAGAGGGCTCCAAAGGCCCATCTACGATCCTCTTTGCCGGACAGGACCCGCGGGAACGAGGGTAGCAAATACATGAGCGCCCTGCATTTGTGATGGTGGCAGTGCTGGCAGCTTGACAATGCTACAGCCACTTGTTGCTGAGCCCATATGACAGAGTACAAGCTGCGGACACGAGGTGCGAGCACAGTCATTGCCGATTCACTTTTTGTTAAAGCACAGGTCCAAGCAAAGAGCAACCAAGCGTTTCTGATTGTGCGCTTCTGTGTACAACCGAGGCCCATGCCTACTTGGTCTGAAAGACATTGTGACCCGAACCGAAAAAGAGGCGCATTGTTCGGCCCCGCTCGCATCTGGAGCGGTCGAGGTGCCGTTCTTTTTTTGCGTTGGAAGGCGTGGCCCACCGATTTACGTGATGGGGGGCATGAAGAATGCGGACAAGATCGCGGAGAACCCGGGTGTAACAAGGCAGCATCAGCGGAGGATGGCGGAATGGTCCCGTCCCCGGCGCCAAGTACGTAGCACTCGCTGAAACTGTGTCGCGACGGAAGCGCGTGAATAAAAAATGATGAGCCCAGCTGGCACGTGCGCCATGGCTTGATTCGCCAAGGAGCCAGGCGTGCAAAAGTGTCACCGGTGCAGTTGCCATGCTGAGGGGTTCATCTGAAGGCTCCGTGCGCTTCACCTGTTGATAAAGGGGTGCACTCCGGCTGAAGAGCTAGTGCCAAACAGTGGTGACCTGAGAGCCACACCGGAAGTGTGACATCGTGGTCGGACTATGATGCATGTCGTATGTGCTTAAATCCCCACAGCATCGCGCGATACATCGTGTTAGAAGTTAGAAGCGCCCGTGAATGCATCAGTCATGTTTCTCATGAAGTCATGTCATATAAAAGATATTTCCCTGATGATTGGAAATGCATTTCGTTGTTGTTTGTGTGATTCGTGAGTTTGGAAACACAGAAAACAGTATAAAAGTAGATATGTAGCCAAGCACAACGAGAGCTCGCACAGCCAAACCACGCCCCCCGTTTGAGGGTGTCTGTGTTTCAAGCTTGCTCGAGCGTACATCGATCGTTGGTCAATCGGATTTACGTTGTAGCCAATCACCTTGAGACTAATGTCCGTTTGAGAGCCGGGCGGAACCTTGTTGCTTTCTTGTGTAGCAGAGTTGGCAGGGAACAGTCGATTGCAAAAATGACAAAACTCAAATTGAGTGCACCTCCGGCAACGACACAGATTGCGGTTCTGCCTGGTTCGGCATTCGTGCAGTGCGCAGCGATGTCGGGAGTCCGATTGTGGCGGTTTGGGCGCGTGATGTGCATGTTCTTCGTGGAAGGCATCTTTGCGACCGGTTTCAAAGCTCGTGCTGATCTCAGCCTCGCCAAGAGATCGACAAACCTAAACACGGAAGTGCATGGAAGCGTGAGTAGCTGCGAGGTCATGGCACCGTCATCTGCGGATGCTGAAGAGATCGTTCGCTCAGATGCTAAAGCTGCAACTGCAGTGAATGCAGCCTGAAGCAACCTTGCCCAGGGAGCTGTGATGTTGCAATGCAACCAAGGCGCCTCGTTTATCTGCGGCACCAGCGCCTTGTGTGAGCCCGAATCTCAGAGGCTGGGGCCTGGCCCAGTCACGATTCAGGGACTTTCTGGGGACTGCAGGTCGACCTGTGTCTCCGGCTTCCCCGGTGGCAACACCGAACGCAACCGGAACCGCCACCAATGGAACAGCCAGCATCGGAGCGACTGCAACTCGGCATTGATCGCTGCCTGAGTCCACCTGCGCCTGCACGGCCACAGGCAAAGGACCTGGCCAAGATGATGCAGCAGAGCAGTAACAAGCCAGGTCATGTCGATCTGTAGGCAGGCCATGTTCTGCTTCTTGCTTGCAGTGTTTCAACAAAATCCAGCCATCAGCCGTCAGTTCGTGCTCACAAAGCTCATGATTTCTGTTCTGTTTTTTTCGAGAGGTTCATTCATTCCTTTCCCAGCCAAGAAAGGCTTTCAGAAAGTCGCAGAAGGTTTGTCAGGCCGAGTGCCGAGTTCCTCCTTTCGCGAAGACTGTCTGTTTGAGGAGCCTTGTGGAGGGTAACAGTCTTGATTTAGGACCCTTGAATGCCAGATGTCTCCACTCGCACCGAGAAATTCAAGACACCAGATTTGCAGGTTCGGCGCAGCTTGATTGGGCCTGCTGTGAGACTTCGTTACAGTCGGCGGAGCTTGTCGACTCTGAGACAAAGTCAAGTGATGCCTGCACAAGACGAGAGCAAAGTCTTGCATGTAACCGTGCGCTATGCACGAAAAGGTGCTCGCTGCCTTGCAGAGGGTGTCCTTGCACTGATCAGGTTTGCGAAGATGGTCAGGATGAGAGCTATGTCTTGTTCGATGATTGCTGCCCCCAATCGCAGATTCAGAGCTACTTAACTTGAACTTAAGTGCCACACTCTTCGAACTCCGAATCGTCTTTGCAAATCTCCGCAATGGTTCTTCAACTGTGGACAACCTGCTACAGGTTCTTAACCGTAGCTCAGAACCGAGAGTATCTTGATGCCTCGGCCGGTGGTTCCCTGTGTTTCACCCAGTTCTAGCAGCACGCGATGACGCCGCAGTGCGTCAGTCACCGCAAACGCCACAGTCGGGCAGGCCCGTGCAGGCAGATGCTTGAGTTCTGGGGAGACTTTGAACATCGCCGTCGGTAGCTTCGACTACACTGACTACACGAGCGATTCTGGCCGTGACCCGCAAGCAAGGTGTGGACATGTTCGGCGACTTAACAAAAACGGGCAGGGAAGTGTGGCATGAGCTCTTAAGGCTTGAGGTGAACGAAATTATGGTGTCAAGCGTGGCAAGGCACGCTGGAAGGTGAGCTGAAAGCTTACAACATCAGTGTACTATGAAGAAATATGGAAGGAATCAGACAATCCCGATGGGGCTATAATGACCCCGTGCTGTTTAGATATGTCAGTGTTCGGTTTTGATGGTTTTCCGTGGAAAAAACGATAAGAAGAAATTAACAGAACGATAACGCAGTTTCGTGGTAACACGATAAGAAGAAAATCAAACGATAACAAGATCAGGGATAAGGATTTTTGTACGGGGTGGTTATACAATCCATAGTGAAACGCCCCAGTGAGTTGCTAGCACAAGAGCCCAGACAATAAGCAAAGCAAACTTCATATCAAGCGGCGAAGTACAGCCGAAAAAGGACAGCATGGATGATGAGTTATGCCAGCGACATCGTAGACTGAAGGAAAGCTGTAACAGGTTGTACCAGTAGAGGGGTACGCTGACGCACGATTCGAATTGTAGGAGCTGAAGCAGCAAGGTCTATTATTATCAGATGTTGTGAGAAGCAGGACTTGGCACTGTCACTGAAGGTGGACAGTCCTGATTTCTTGGTATTCTTAGTTCGCATGCAGGAATGCACGTGCAGCAGAGGAATGCCATGTGCAAGAGCAACGAGCAATACCACAGCAATGCTTCTTCGTTGCTGCCTGTGGCAACACCCGCAGCACCTGCTTTGGTTTCTTGTAGAATCTTACGAAGGCGCTAAGCTTGACATCCGACAGGTATGATTTTGTCATGTTACACGCAAGACCGTGACAGTCTCAACAGTGATTCCGGATGCCACCGAATGCCATGCTCGAAGCCGCTGGTTGCACTACGACCGCATCGAAGCCGCAGCCCTCGCAGAGGTGCTATTAGCTCCAAGGCGGGTTTTGCAGATGGAGGCCATTCCTGTGTCCAAACTTGCAATATTTCTAGCACGTCCGTAAGCAAGCAGGGCTGACGCACAGACGAGGCACTTCGACAAGCCAGGGCAGCAAAGTCTTGGAAGATGGCCGGAAAATTATTGCCATTCTCTCCGCCAGTAGGCCGCACTTGTCAACTTTGCCGCAAGTATGTGGACTGTTGGCTGTGCGTCGCTCCTGAAGTCAAAGCACAGAAGAAGCGCTTTCGCAAAATCTCGTGCTGTGCAGGCCACAAGGGCTGCTGATGGCAAGTTCTTCTCAGCTTTTCGAAGCTGCTTCGACAAGACAATGTCGCTTTTCAAAGTCGCAGGCCCAATTTTGGTTGCCTTCTGCCCACCACACAGATTCGGCAGTGACGGTGTTGTCAATTTGCTTCACCCGGGCACCCCAAGGCACTGCCTGCACTGAGCAGGTGCTCAAGTTTCTTCAGGGGCTCTTCGGCCTCCGCGGCGGCACTTGGGACGCTTTGAAGATGCTGCAGCCGATGGAGACGGCCGCGACGGTGCCTGCAACGAAACGAAATTCAGGAGCAGCTGCGAAATGGCTCCCTGGCAGGCTTCCCGTCTCTTCCTTGCTTGTTGGGCGGCAGCATGCAGCTGGGATATTGGCTTTTTGGCCCTGGATCGCTGGAGTCAGGCTGCGTCAGATGGCTTGGCTTGTACTTGTGTTGTGAAAGTTCAGGGTCTATAACCTTTCGGTCTGCATTCGCGTGCTGCCAGCACGTGGACAGGTATCCACAGGCCATCCGGCAGAAGCGGCGGCAGCAATGGACTTATTGAGACCACTTTTTGGAGAGGCCGAGGTTCGAAAAGTTTTGACCCACTTGGGTTCCGATCCTGAGCCAATGCAATGAATGCAGAGTGAATGCAGGTGTCCTCGCTCTTCGGCCTCTTTACCCTGCTGCTGGTTGTCGACATCGGACCAGAAGGGGAGGCCGGGGCCAGAGCCGCTGGGGAGCCCAAGGCTTGAGCAGTGCTTGGGTCACAGGCCAAGGCCGGAATGCTGAGCTTGGAACGACATGAAAACATCCTGAAAGGCAAGCACGTGGGCCAAGACGTGCCGCGAGCGAGAATCCAACAGACACCAAAGAGCCAGATACATCCCTTTCGCTCGCCGTTTCTTTTTCCGTATTCCTCTTCGGTCGTGTGTTTACGTCCTGGGCGAGCAATGCCCAATGTCTCACTGTACGGGAAGTAAGACAGGCCCGGGGTTAAAGCAATACTCCATGTTTGCAAAGGCCTCGGCTTTGCGTGTGTTTTGCTTACGAGGTAAGAGGTTATCAACTGTACAATGCACCAATGATTATACACTGATTGATTAAGTTGGATGCTAGGATAACGATGGCTTGCATCATGGAGTCTCACGTGTTTCGAGGCCTGGCAGCCCTAGGCCTCGAAACTGCTTTCCAAGTAAGGCTCAAGGTTCATTCCCTCCGTTGTCTTCGCAAAAGGCCATCCGCCGAAATAGTGCCAATCGGCAGGATTCTCGAGCTTTTGTCCGGGCTCTTCGCTCATGTCTTTTCGCACCACCGAGCGAATCCCCAGACAACTTGGGCGAGAGTCCGCGACTCGCACCGATGCCAGTTAGTCCATGGTGGCAACCGCATGCCTGCCGAAATCTGTGAGAGTTCCGACAGCTGTGCTGGTATGAGCAACATGTTTCTCGCCCGAGTATTGAGCCTGTGAGCTCTGAAGAACAAGCTGTTCCAACAAAAGTTCTCGGATGCCTGCTGCATCTTCTTGGGCTGCTAGTTCAAACTCCTTCGCAAGTTTATATGACTCCGAGAAACGATTATGTCTTGCATTGCGTTCAGGGCAAGCACATGGATTGAAGCGAGTTTATCGGGATGAACACAGCGAGGGGTCGAGCAAGGCGAAGAACAAGGCTAAGGCGGACATCGTCAATCAGATGCAGATGCGATTGCAGCATGTCTGCTAGAACGGTAGCCTCGAGGATTTCGGATTTCCGGGCTTATTGTGTGTTTTTGCTACTTGCATGGGAATGTGTGTGGGAACTACTTTCTGTCCACGGCAGTGCCAAGGCGTGCGAAAGGTTCGTCTTGTCCCATTTGTTTGGAAGACTTGGGACCAGATGCAGACGCTGCCTTACTCGAGCATAGAACTCAAAGTCATCTCATGCAGGCCAGCAAGATCCAGCTTTAGCCTGAGCATTCCATCGCTTCCAAGGACAGGATTGTTGTTGCTCCATGTTCGCACGCAGTGCACTGGAGCTGTTATGCTTCAGCTGTGCGGGCGAAGTCGTATCAAGCCGGGCGTTGCCTGATGTGCAGAAAGGCAGGTGATGTAGGAACAAGAGTTATTGCCATTTTGCTTTGCAGTTTTGTCCCGTGTTCAGGTTGCCGCTTGGTCCAACGTCACTATTTCAAGACTTCTTCGTGACTTCCAAGGATGCACTTACAGAAGAGAATGCTCTCCAGATGATTTGTTTTTTACTTACTTGAATTTGACATAAGTCTCACAGGGCTGTTCCTGGATGCTGCAGGATTTCTTGCCCGGACAGCAACAGAGGAAGACTGGGCACCTAGGCTGTGATCACATTTCTCATTCCTTCGTCCAAATCATCTCGCCAGAGCTTCGTGCAAGGGCTCTTGCGATGAATTTCCTCGGGAATTTCTGGTGGCATCTGCATGTGCGGACTTGTCCGAGCATTTGCCTTTGCTACACGAAGTGTCAATGTCGCTGGAAAGCTTCTCGGCTCTGCCCCTTGGCAAGCGGTTTGACGAAGATGCTGGGCGGACAATGGCGAATGTGCCGGGAGGGTGCAATGTCATCAGGTATGCGGCACAGAAGATTGAGGTTACGCCTTCGGGAGCATGGATGGTTGCTCAGGAGTTCGGTGCTCAGAGCTTGCATCATTCTTCCCTCCCACCCATGTATGTCGACTGAACGGGAAGGCTCACCACGGACGGGGGCGAAGACAGACCAGTCACTCCTGATTGCAATTCTACCCAGGTTGTCTGCTGTGAATGCTTCAGGGCGCGGCCCCCTTGCTGGGCCTGGTGCAGAAGCAATAGGCGCCCGCCCAGCTTGCGTGCCGACCTCAGCTGGGCTTCGTGCATGTGCACTTGTGAAAGGAGGCATTTAGCTCTGCTGTTAAGGTGAGGCTTCCCGTCGGATCCTTATTGGTCTCTGCGTCTTCACCGGACGGCGATGTTCCGGGCTCAGCGTATGCCTCCGTGCGCTGTACGTGCTGCAGCATTTCCTATTGTTTGGTCTTCCTAGTGGGAGTTGTGTATGCAGGTGCTACCTTTGCCATGACATGTGACATCCAGGTTTGCCTCAGCGAGATCGAGGTGCAAAACGCGGCAGCGTTCCAACCCAGGTTACTGTTTGAGATGATACGTGCGGCCAATGGCCTGTTCGTCTGGCGTGTTCCACTTCCGATGCATTTGCCGCCCGGACGCACATTGAGGTTGCAAGAAGCCAGGTGTGCTCGGGTGGTGGGATCGTTCTGTTTTCCGATGGTTTTCACATGCTACCTCACGCACGCAGCATCCTCTTCACGGGGAGCGCGCTCCATCGTGACGCGGCACGGGTCTTGCTCACTGTGCTGAAATTCAGGATACATCGGCGAGCCCCCTGTTTAGCGAACCTGTCCTTGTGCTCTTGAATTGAAGACTCATGAAATATCAAAGATGGCATACTGATGAACACTGGTGGTGATGTCATCATGGCGTCGAGCTGCGACAGTGTTCCCTGTTTCTTTCTTTGGGGAATGTAATTCAATGTGTCGCTGTCACATCCAGGGTCACTCCGCCATTCCAAGGCATGCCCCCGAAATTGAGAATAATCGAAAGACAGACTGGCACCCTGGAAGCAGCGGGGCGAATTCACCGTTCGACCTAACTCACTTTTCGACTCGGCGTGCCAAGTCTCTGCTCAGGAACGCGGTGTGAAGGATGCCAAACACATTTTATTATGCGGGGACCCGGCTTGTGAGCCACCAACACCGAACATCTTCGGGAGGGAATTGAGATCGTGTGGAGAGGGTGACGGAGGACTGTTAGCATGTTAGCTGCAGTATCTTGTCAACGATGTTGCGCTTGCGCCATCGAGATTCCTATCAATAATGCAGAACCGGGTAAAGTCTGGCGAGTTGAGCAAAATGGAGCAGGGGCAAGAAGTTCTCGAGCACTGCTTAGTGTTCGCGACTTCATCCTTCTTGTCAGTGATTGAAGCCCGAGGTTTTGGAATGAGGAGTTCCAGTCCAAGTTCGAAGTCTGTGGTGTACATCTTTGCCGGGATCGAATGAGTGAGTAGAGTGACAGAGAGGTCCGCCAGATATTTAATTCACGACTGACTTTCGAAGGGGTCGGCGGTTTTAAGTGGCCTTTACGTCCTGCCTGCGTTGGTTCATTGCTGTTTATTCTAGTTTGCTCCGGACTGCCGTGGGCTGCGGTGTCAGCCTTACTGTTACACCGTACTTGTTGCTGAGATCTGACCTGAATTCTACTCGGACAAATGCTTTACCCGTGGTCTTGCTCTCGACCGACACATCTTAGTTTACGTGGGTGATGTCGAAGACTCGAAGATGGTCATAGGCGAGTTTCCGTGTCGCTTGGGAGTCACATCAGGCTTTGACCGTGTGAGCGTATGGCTCCGACAGGAGAAAGTTTGGGACTTGCTGCGTCATCCCCAAGCTGAGATGTTCGGCAGGCATCAGCAGCTGGCCTGAAATAGTGCCTCTTCGAGAAGGCAAAGCTGCAGGAAATGCAGATCATTGCCAGGTCCGCACATGTGCATCATGTTGTTCAATTATTCATGCTCAGGTCTGCCACCGAGATGCCTTAGACTTGGCGAATGTTTGAGCCTCTGACAAAAGCGAGGACCAAATCGCTTGTGAATCAGGGCTTTATTGTCCTCTGTGGGTTTGTGGGCAGTTGCAGACTGAAAGGAGGTGTAGTCTGATTCGCAAGTCTCATGGCTAAGGCAGGTGCAGCAGTGTCATGCCTGCTGGTGTATTTCAGCTCTGCTCGTTTGAAAACTTGTTGTGCAGCCGTAGAGAGGATGCAGATCAGCACGCTCTTGATGCTTGGAAGCTGACCTATAGCAGCTGCGCTGGTAGGGTACAAGTACAGTGTGCCTCTTGAGCTACTGCGTTACTGTTTTTTGCACCATGTGACACTCGCACTTTGTTCAACGCTCCCTCGAACGGAATTGCCGATGTGCTGTCACGGCATTCATCTGCTTGTCAGAAAATTGTTTGGCTTGTTCTATCTTCTGTTGCGTGCAGTTGAGGGTCGGGATGTGTGCTAGCCACTCAATTCAGCCAGATCTTGCTGACTGCTTTCCTTCTGCAAAAGTTGGCGCCACATTCTGCTCAAGACTGCTTAGTTAACAAAGTTCAATGTGCCCAACCGCAGACATGTGCATTGATCGCAGGATAAGAGTAGTCCTCGCTACGCAAAGCTTTCCTATGACAGATATCCAACAAGCTCAGAAGATCTCAGAAGCCTGTGTTTCGATTCCTAATGCCCCACTGCCATGGGTGCGAGCGTTCCGCGCTGAGGGCAGCCAGCCCTGCCAGCCCCACACTCTGAAGCAAGGCAGGTAGCTGAACAGACAGGCTCTTAGGATGCTCCTTAAATTCTAAGGATGAACATACATCCGTTTAAGTGCTTCGCAGCTGCCTCAGAACGTCACAAGTCTCCCACCATATGCTCCAAGACACGAGATCTGAGGCGCTTCCAGTGTGCTGCTTGGAGGTTTTTTCCTAATTTCTAGCCGCTCTGTTCTAGAGACCCTCATAGACCCTCGCCGGGGCAGGAGGCGACTGGCGACTGGGCCATCCGCATCGGCCATGAGCCCTTCGAGCTCCGAAAGGCGAAGCCTCAAATTCGTTTCGGGCGTTCGCGGCTGCTGCAGCACTGCCAGTCTGGAGTCTGGAGTCTGGAGTGGCAGGTCCTCGAGCAGCGGTTCAGCCTCAGGCGATAGGCCAAAAGAAGCACCGTGGGTGCTTCAGACTCTGCCGTAGGCTAGACCCTAGACTTTGGCAAATTCACGCCAGGATGGTCCTGACACTTCTGTTTGGCCCGGAGCATCATGTAAATGGTAGGATGCCATGCGTCCCTTCAGCAACCATTGCGGTGAGGCCTAACACGACGAAGGATGTTGCAGCAAAAGCCGCAGGCATCCGATTTCTTCAAGGGTTTCGGAAATGGCTGCGATATGGCGGAATCGCTGCCTCCCCAATGGTACGGTGAGCGCTTGGCAAACGGATTCGAGGGTCTGAAAGGGAATTTTTCTTGTACTGCGAAGCTGCTTCCGGCTCCACCCTTTTCGGGGCCATTGAACTGCGTTTCGGCATGATTCTGCACTGGCATGTCGCCGGCATGTGATGCGAATCGCGAGGGTAGAGGTGACATGCCATTGTGAGCTGCTAGGCTTCACTTGCATGCCTGAGTGCAGGAGAAGAGGAGTCTGATTCTGACGAACAGGAGGCATCGTCGAAATCGGAGAGTCTTGTTTGTTGCTCGGAGTCTTCGTTGCCAGGCTTCCCGTGAAGAAGCTGAGGAGGAGAAAGAGGAGGAAGATGAAGAGGAGGACCCTGAGGAGAAGGAAGGAGCAGAGCAAAGTGAAGAAGGAAAAGCCAAAGAGGTGAAAGATCCCGACAGTTCCGACTCGTCGGAGGAAAACAAAAACAAGACGGAGGACAGACTGCCGATGCGCCAACTACACAGTTAGGAGCTTTGGATTTGTCTATAGCATTGATCGTCGGTATGAGGACCCTCGCCTGGCCTTAGCAACTTTCTGCCAGGAAGCACGTGTTCGACTTGTGCCGGCGGGCCGTGCCCGCTCGCGATCGGAGAAGGCTTGACCTGGGCTTTAGATTGCACATTTGCGGGTTTTCGAGCTTCGCAGGAGCAAAGCAAGCGATCCAAGTCAAGGAAGAAGGACAGTGGCTTCCCTTCGACTACAAGAGAGCTGCCAGTGGCTGCTTCGTGTCATACGAGTAGTTCTGTAAACGGGGCTGCTTCTCAGAGCCCTTTTTATGAGGGGGCCGCACTGTTTTGGGGACCTAGACAGGGACCTTAATTTGGAGAACTACCCATTTGCATTCAAATGCATGGACCATTGGAGGACCGGTCTGCCAGCAAGCGGAAGAGGCCGATATTGGCGGGTGTTGGTGCCTATTGCGAGATCTGGGCTTTGATGAAGGCGCACCTCCAGCTCTCCGAGTCGAAGGCGAAAGTCGCCAAAGCGCCCCAGCCGGGCACGTCCGGTGCTGAAGCGAGACCGCTCGCGCTCCAGGTCGGCGAGAAACAAGAAGGCGGGCAGCTACTTTTGTCAAGTCTTCACAGGAAAGACTGATCCTGCAAAGTGCAACCTTCCCCACACAGTGCAGGATCACAACAGATGGTCCAAATCAAGGAAGAAGGTCCTGCCTTGCATTACTACCTCCATTGCTTCATCCGCTCTGCTGGCTCAATGTCTGGTGTGGAGTGCGAGCCGCTTTCCGTGTTTCTTGTGACCCTTTCTCTATTCGCATGCAGATGTGTTTCATGCAGGACCGGTCTGCCAGCAAGCGGAAGAGGCCGATATTGGCGGGTGTTGGTGCCTATTGCGAGATCTGGGCTTTGATGAAGGCGCACCTCCAGCTCTCCGAGTCGAAGGCGAAAGTCGCCAAAGCGCCCCAGCCGGGCACGTCCGGTGCTGAAGCGAGACCGCTCGCGCTCCAGGTCGGCGAGAAACAAGAAGGCCTCGGGGGTGCCTCGAAACGATATGCACCGCAGCCAGGCATGCACTATCTGCAGCTGTTTCGTTTTTGGCAAAGGACCGCAACAAGCGATCCAGGTCAAGAAAGAAGGCCGCACTCTGCTTGTTAGATCTTGTTAGCAGCTATGTCAATGTTGGTTTGTTGCTCTTGGTGGCGTACTCGCACTTCGTGTTCTTCAAGTGTCGTGACCGACTTTTCAGCTTGAAGTGCCGGTGGCTGCTTAGGGCATCAGCATCAGAGAGGGGATCCGCAAAGCGGGCTCTCAAGCACACGACCATGATGAACGGGGAAGAGAACTTCCGCCTAACGGCATTAGATGCAACGGCATGCAACGGCATGTTAGACATAGTCGAGGGAACATGGAGAGACCGTGGAGAGCGATGCTGTGAAGCACTCGAATATCTAGATCCCGCACCTCTGGATCATTCTGGGTCCAATGGGGTTGGATCTTTGTGTTTGTCAGCGATAGCGGGACGACACGCCAGAGGCAGAGGGCAGCACAAAGACAATCCCCCTCCGAGCGCTTGAGAGCAAAAGGGGAGGGTCGGCCGAGAGGTGAGACCGGGACCCACCAAAGTTTTGCTTCTGCCATGGCCACAAGCGCGAAGCGAGGAGGCGGCACGGAAAGAAAAACGGATGGTTCCAAAAGACGCTTGCAAAGGGAGAGAAAAGGAAGGATCAGGCAAAGGCAAAACAGGAGGAGAGCAGGTGGCACTGGAGGCTGCCCGCAGACTCGACTTCTACTGCCTTGTTCTATGTCCATGCACTGGACTGTCATACTGCTCTTCCCGGTTCTTCTCTCTTTCCTCTTGCTCCGCTCCGTTTTCCCTTGTTCCTCTCTTCTGCCGCCTTCCACCCCTGACCCTCCTAGCCACCCACCATCGTCCTTTCCTTGGCTGGATTGGGTTGGTTTTGACATGGAGCCCTTCGTGGAGGGCGTGACACCTTCGCAGCCCTGAAATGCAGGGCACAACGATAATCGCAAGGCTCGCTTTGCTCGCCTGGCGTTTTGGCGACCTGCTCCCAAGATCAGCAGTCGTGGCTTCAGCGAGGCCTGCCTGCAGTTCGCAATGTTCATACCAAGCCTTCCCCACAGTTGGCCTATGTCGGCCTCTCGAGAAATGAATGCAAACTGTAGAGGCTGGAGAGTGGAACAACTCCAAACCCTGCTTCTTCACTTGATTACGACATTTCTTGAAACGTACTTCCATGCTGCTCCACGGCTCTCTGGATGCCTCGTGCGCACTCTGGAGCCGCCTCGGGCCCTAGGGATTTTTTGGGTTCGATGATCTCCTTGTTTGTAACCTCGTCAAAGCAGCACGTCTGTGGCAGGAAAGATCCTCCAGACGGAAGAGGCGCCTGATGCGCCTGTACATTGCGGGGAGCTCCTGTGCACATGTGTGGACTGATGGAGGCATTCCAGCTCCAAGAGTCACAGGAAGAGGCGGGATGGGATTCGGGTGTTCTTGTAACAGCAAGCACTTCTCACAACAATGCCGGCGGAACTGGGAGAAATCAAGGTACGAGCAATGTTGAGGCAACTCATGTCCTTGTGAGCTGGAGAGCATGGTTTCATCCTTGGAGTTACTGTAGTTACTATTAGTTACTCTTCGGCATCAAAGCATCCAAAGTGGCAGGATGTTCGAGATCATGCTGCTTAATGCCTCAAGGCTCTTTCATCTATGTTCTATGGGTCTCATACAATGCACCGCGACGGGGCTGGTCATTCTCTGGTTCTTGTCACAGCAAGCCCTTTTTCTTATCGGAGGCCACGTCGACCCCTGGTGCATGGCACAAGTCCATGGCACAAGTCTTCAGTTGCACAGGAGCCTGTCGAAGACCAAGGCAACAAACAAGGCCGGCTGATTCCAACGCATAATGTACCGTCAAGAGATGCTGCCGTCTCTGTCGTGTCTGACAGGCTGTCGACGGTGCCCAGGCAGAATGCCGAGACAGTTTCGTCGGTTGTGGACTTGACTGGAAATCCTTGTAGGCCAGAGCCAAGCCGGCAGCTGCTCCTGCCACCAAGCATGCAGTCTGGCAATTGCCATCTGATCACAGGGGTTGGCTCATTTCCCAAGAGCGCAATCAATGTTTCATGAATGGCACCATTTCGATTAGGTCCTGCTCCGAAGAACCACAGAAGAACTTGACGCTGGCTTGGCCAAGGAAGCTCAGAAAGAGAGCACCTCTGCGACCAAGCCATCTGGTCAGACTCCGGTGACGGGCTTGGTTGACCGGATGCGGACAGAAGTTACGGCGCATTGGCCTGGTCACGGCCTTGTGCCCCGTTTCTGGGTACATAGTTCACCAGCTTGATCGGATTCGTGGCCCGACGGGTGTGAGTCATCAAATGGGCCGGTATATGATCGCGCGCTGGGGCAGAATCAATATTCGCGGGATCGGCGAATGAGGTCGCGCGGGGAGGTCATTCTGTTGCTTTCGACTCGCTTCAGGTTCAAGGGTTACAGTATTCACGATGTAGGCTTTGCACTTCGTTTCAAGTGGACTTTTAGTGGACTGACCTCTGCCAGTCAGTTCTCTCCCGCGGCGATTGTCACCCCTTTTGGGCTTTAGGGTGGTTGAGGGTTGTAACGTTGATGCTCACGGCTTCGCCTTCAGGGTTTGGGCTGTTCAGGGTGCTTGGGCTTTAGGTTCTCGGGAGTTTCCGGGGATCAGGAAGTTCAACGCTCAAGACCCCGTGAGTATTCGTAGTGATTCACTCCAGGCGCCGGCCGATTGACTTTCTTTCGCATTTCTTGATGTCCCTGCGAAGAGCCGATGCCTCGCTCTCCGAGGCCTTGTCTGCTGCGGAAGAGCTGCGGCAGGTCAGCACCTCACTGTTTTGCTTCGGAGAGGGCAGAAAGTCCCAATTGCCTGAAAGTTTTCATCCCGTGCCTCAGTACCAGAGCCTTAGAGCATCGAGCATTCACTGTCAACATATCGCGTGGTCAAAGGCGCTGTTTGGAACTGCGAAGCCGGCGCCAGTGGAAGCCCCAAAGCCGGCGCCCGCTCCGAAAATCTCTTTCGGCATACCCAAGAAGCCGCAGGCCAGAGGTCTTAATACTTACGTAGCTCCAGCATGGACGAACCGTGCATTGTATTGTGAGGTGCGTGGAGCCTTGAGCAAGAGGGTCACAGTGATTTGGTGTCAGCGATGCCTTACCACTAGCAACTAGCACGCCTGCAGCCGACTTGAGTAAACAGGTCATGGATTGGAGAAGGCGTTCAGCTCCCGAGACGAAGCCCTTGCAGCAGGTTTCGTCACAGGGTTTGTGCTTTTGTGAAGAACGTTCCGTTCGCTTGCCTATGCCTTGATGCCAGAACAGCATGGTGTCTGCCGGAGCCCTGGGCCAAAAGACGACGAGACGTCGTGTTCACGAACGAAAGATTAATTTATGTCTGGTTCAAATCCCTGACGAGCAGGTTCCAGGCACCGAGTTTGCTTTCCGAGCACATGCAGGTCCGTCTCAGAAAGCTTGTATCTTAGGCGAAGGAGTACCGGTACAGTAGCTATGACACGTTGTACCAGCAGTGCCCTATAGGGTGGACGAGTGCGTTTCAAAGGAAGATTGTATTTGGAGGGCGTTATTTTTCACTGTCTTTTTTTTTGCTTGTCCCCTTGGTCCTGTGGTCCTCTGGTCCCCTGGTCCCTTGTTCTTCTTGGTCCCCTGGTCCGGTGCAGCCCCTGGTCCTCTGGTCCCGTTTTCAGGATGTATAGTAAGTATACAAGGTTACAAGTATACCTTTCGAAGCAAGGGTGAGCAGAGGTGGCTTCTTGGCTTTTCGGCCGCTCGGCTTCTTGGCCTTTCGACTTCTTATAGCTTCGTGTATCATAATATATTACATTATATTGAATTACATATATATGTGTATATAGTAAAATGTACTGTCTTCTAGTATTTGGTATTATATTATAATATTTTATCATTTTATATTGACCTATATGAAGTTATATCAGATTCGCTTATAGCTAAATATATGATGTTATGTGATACGACATTATATTATATTATAATATATCTTATCATATTGTATCTGGGATTCCTACGCGAGCCGGGCGCTATCGCACCCGCCTTTCCAGCCTTTCACATGGCCGGTGATGTTCGACACCTCGGCAACCTATGTGGATGTGAAGGTCTTCAATGGAAATGAAGTCCTTTTCCATTGGGTGTTCCGGGGCTACCGTTCGGACTCGGATCTCTCCGTCCAGCAGCAGTTCTGCGACGAGGTCCTGATCAGGACGGCCAACGAAGGGTGGTTCCGACCTTCGATCGTCATCTCGGTCTTCGTGGGATGGAAGGTCTCGGTGACTTCGTTCGAGGTCGGAGCTCGAGTCTACACGATCGGCCCGAGAGGAGCGGTGATGGCAAGTGATCACGCCATGAGCACCTGTGAGCTCAGGGTGACGGACCGCTCCTCTCGGGAGGGCTACGGGAACGATGCCGATCGGGTTGAGTTCCGGTTCCGGGACGCCAACAACCGGATCGATCTGAAATGTGGGCGGGCATCCGTGCCAGGCACTTGGCTCGCCCCGCCCTGAACAACCCAGCGCACTCGCGTGGAAGGTCCGGACCACATCCAGCAGTTCGCCCAGCTCTCGGCGGTGATCTCCCCGTGGTACCACAGCGCGTTCGCCGCTAACCTGGAGGAAGTGGGCACGACGACAGATGAGTTCCCGGTTGATCACGGCTCGCAATGGGCCTCCAGCTCTCATGGACGAGGCATGCGTTCAGCAGTTGGGCTCCTCTGCCACCTCGGCTATCACGAACATGCCCACCTCGGCTCAGCAGCTGTTCGACCAGAGGGTGTCGACTCTTCAAGTCCCAACGGAAGGTAGGCCGAGCTCGCCGAGACGGTCGTCACTGAAGCCCGCGATCGCATGAGGGCAGACATGCGCTTCTCGCGCACCTCGGCTGCGATCACTCCGCAGGTCTTCGCGGATGTCCTTCGTGATCGCGAGCAGGCGGAGTATGAGCGGATCAGTACGGTCAGGGTGGAGGAGACCGGCCAAGAAATCACGGCGTCGGCCTCCAATCCTGATTCAGTTTCGAAGTCGTTCGCCCCGGCCTACCCACCACAGCTCGATCCTCGGCAGGTCCCTACACGATGGACAATTCGGGGGTGGAGTAGGCGGCGCTCGCAGCACAGGACTGCGCCACGGTCGGCGTTTTGTGCGCGCTCCAGAAATGAAAGTGAGTGGCGTGCCGCTCTGGCCGGTAACATAGCGGCGGATCAGCCGTGCTCTTCCGCGGAACAAAGATGCCGAGAGATCCTCTCGGTGCGCTAGATCCCAACGCAGTTCTGCCGGAAGTGTCTTTGATCATGACCTGTCTCAGGCACGGCGCTCGGTTGGCATTAGCAGGCACGTGCGATCGCCCTGTGCAGCTGTTCAGGCCAAGCATGGATAGGTCTGTTAAGAAGATCCTCTCTCTCCCTCTGTTCGGGGATGAGTTTTGCCAATGGTTGGTGGATCTTCAGATGGCTCAGTTCGAGAAGCTCTCGGCTGTTTCGGATGGGACGATCGCTGAGTGCGTGCAAGCCTTCGTCGAACTAGTGCCTGCTTTCGAGGAACTTCACACGCCAGCTCGGCGCAAGAACGAGGAGGAGCTCGGCAGGTGGGTTCCGTCGATCGAGCTGCTGTTTGTGCTGGTTCGTAGTACAGCGGCGGCTGGGTGGGCAGACTTGGCCACAGATCTGGGGTTTGGCCTGGCTGAGGCTCCAGTAGCCGTGAGACGTTCGCCCTTGAAATCGAGAGGAGCGGGCAGCGAACCACCAGTTCCTTTGCCGCTCGCTAAGAGGCCTAGGGCGATCGAACCCAGGGCCGAGGATCAACAGGTCTCGCTCAAAGCTCGAGAGCTCGCAGAAGCTCGGAAGTGGGGCGTGAGGTTGAAAGCGATCGTGGAGAGATGCGGCGAGCACGCTGCGATCGCGGGCAACCCCGCCTCTGTCCCAGGATGAGATGAATGCTCTGAGGGTGATCGTCTTCGAGAGCGGCGGATTCCGCACGATACAACAGTGCGTTCGCCGCTGGGAACGAATGGAAACCTGGCCGCGATCTCAGAATATCCAGCCATCTCGTCAAGTACCTGCTGAACCTCTCGGATCGGGGATGCGGCCCCACGGTCATACCCTCAGTTCGCGGGGCGGTCAAGTGGATGTGCATTCGGATCGGCATGCAGGGGCCGGATCTGCTCGATCCGCGCATCATGGCCCTACAGAAGAAGGTGTACGGCGATCGAGGAAAAGAAACGCGGGAAGCGGTTCCGATCCCTCTGGCCTTAGTGGCGGCGCACGAGAGGTTCGTGAGCGCTCGCTTCAAGTCGAGCCAGTTCGTCATGGCGTTCTTCGCATGGTGGGTGCTCGTGATGGTCTACTCGTCACTGAGGTTCGATGACGCCCTCCACGTCGTGCCTGAGACGCTCGTCTTGAAGGACGAAGCCCTCTACGGAGTGGTGTGGCAGCCGAAGGTCGAGCGGCAGAAGAAAGCGACGCGGTTCGCGGCTGCCAAGGTCTCCGTCTCCGGATCCAATTGGAGGGAGGACGGCTGGCATGCGGCGGCGTTCGAGATGGACGATCGCGACTACTTCATGAAGGAGCTCGAATCGAGTGAGCGGTTCGCCGATCGGCCCGCCAGCTATCAGCGAAGCATCTTGTGGCTACGGTACGTGCTCACTACCGCGGCCTCGGATGATCTGAAGCGAGGGCACATCCCGCCCGAGCAGCTCAAGGAGTTCCTGAAGATCGTGCCGGAGATCACCTGGCACTGCCGGGTCACCCTGCTTGCGGCAGCTGTTCAGGCCCAGGAACCCGATAAGGAGATCGGACTCCAGGCGAACTGGAACGATCCGAGCCAGCTGGTCCTGAAGTACGCGAGGAGCCGGAAAGAGATCTCGATCGAGATGGTCAAGCGGCTGTGACGAAGAGGATCGCCTCGGACTGGAAGTCTCCACCTGAGTTCGAGGCGGATGACACCAACTTGGTCGACTTCGGAGACCTCTCTCTGACTTATGTCACCAAGGCCAGGTCGGCGGCTGGATGAGCCTTAAGTACCATGCCATGTATATAGATGGTTCGGGCACGGAGCGTACGCTCTGTGGCCGATGTGCGATCACCGAGTGCGAAGACCTCGGCGAGATCCCACCGAGCACACAGATGTGCTCACTATGCTCCAGTAAGATCTTTACTGAGCCGTGAACATGCCCGTGCTTGTGGATGTGCTGACTGTCGGTGCTGCGCTCGCGTTCTGTCCGCAGCCTTTTAGGTCGATCGCCCTAGGGAGCCATGGTGGATCGCACCGTCTACGCCGATGAAGCGGCCACCCCGAAGCTGAACCTTCGCCAGATCTTCGGGCGGCAGGGTCTTGATCCGACTCTATGTCGGCTCTCCGCGGACAAGGGGCTCCTCACAGTGGAGATGTTCGCGATGCTGGGGCAAGACCTCGGCGAAAGCGACACTCCGCAAGCTGTGGGAAGGCGACATGACTCCGCTCGGAGCGGATGCGGCGGCCCAGGAGCTCTCCGTGATGTCCTTAGCAGCAGTGTGGCAGGCTGCTCAAGCGTTACAGACTCAGTACGCCTCTCGGCGAGCTCGCATGGAGGAGGACCCGAACAAGATCCCGGAGCTCTCCCAGGAAGACCACGCGGAGTTTCGCGATCGCTTTGTGAGGGTCCACCCGGATGTCATCTTGATCGGACTTTCTCATCCACGGGATAGTTCCCTTCTACGAACCTGCCGAGATCCGGACGCGCTCAGACGTGATAGGCCTTTCTGAGAACGCAGAAGATCTGCTGTCGATCTCACGAGCTCATCAGCCTGAGCCGGTCACGGACGTCATGACTTTGTTCAACCGCTTGCACGCGTTCTTCATGGCGCGAGTACCTCAACATCTGTGCGTTCTCTCGCGCAGAAGTTCCCTTGAAGTACCTGCAAGAGCTCGAGCAGTTCCGCTCGGAATGCCCGGGGCTGCCCTTCCTCATGGCGGCCGATCGAGCCATAAGGAAGAAGGTCTACCGTCTGCTCTCGGAACAAAGAGCGACGTATGTCTCGTTCTCGCAGGCTCTCGTCGAGGTGCTCACCAATCATAAGTACCTGTGGAACGATGCTCGCACCTCCGCCACTCTTTCGAAGATGGAACAGAATCGCTTGCAGCTCGCCAACAACCCAGATCAGGTCAAGGAAGAAGAAGCTCCTCCGCCTCCTCCTCTCAATCCCTTCAAAAGGATCCGAGGAGGGAAGAAGAAGAAGAGACTGCAGACTCCTTCCAAGGACGATCAGCCCAAGAAGGTCGTCAAGGAGGATCCCACCAAGAAGCTGAAACGCGACAACCGGATCCCGGAGAAAGAATGGAAGCTCATCGCGGATGCGGCGAAGAAGGTACAGGGCGCTCGCCGGTGCCACTACTTCAACTCGTCGCTCGGGTGGACAACTGTCGCTTCAAGCACCTGTGCATGGTCTGCGGCC